ACCTCTGGTGCAAATTACTGACCTCTGTCATCATTTTAGGTGGGGGAACTTGCACAATCGGTGGCTGACTAAATACTTTTTTGCCCCACTGTAAATGTTCACAAAATGTGTTCAGCACTATTCTAATTTACAACCTAACAGCTTACTACACATCACACCACAAACATAACTGTGATTCAAAACATGATCAAAAATCCTGACATCTATCAGCAAGAGGGAACCCCCCACCTCCACATTACAGTCTTGCTCATTTACATTTGAGCTTCACATTTCCTCACTTCTAAAATGAGGGAATCCAGTAAGTGAGATGACATGAGGGGGAAAAAAGGTCTCCAAAAAGTGTGGCATCTCTCTGAAGTTTCCATGCTTCTCCATCAGTTTCTGAGTCCAGCTCGTCGGTCCGGTGAACCAGCTGTCATCTGACACAAACAGGCTCTCCTCCACGCGCTCACTTATAAAGTAAGTCAGTTAAACATTCAGGCTAACAGGTGAATTCTCCTGTGTTAATAATATTTATATTTAATCAACTGTATTCTAAGCACCAGCTGTCTGTTACAATTTTTGTTTTTTTAGAGTTTACTAAAATAAAAATAAAATCACATTAACATCTGTGTGGGGTTTTTGTTCAGTAAGCAGATGTTGGTGTTTCAGTCATGTTACGTTTAACGTTTAATGCTGCTCATCAATAAGACTAAAGGCAGGAAGTTGTCCTTTATAACTACACATGTTAATAGCACCTCCAGATTTATATGATAGTTTATGATATAGCACGTGTATTTTAGTAATAGTCTATTTATTTCAGTGTAGTGGTGTACAGTTCTTTCTTGTTTGTCCTTGGAAAGACCGCACGAGTCCAGATTTCCGAGGACACACACATACTCCTAAACTAGAAGTTATCCAAGTTTACTTCAGTTAACCGAGTCAGACAGTTGTAATGAAAACATAAACACGGTGACCATGGTAACCACGGACACTGCGCAGCTGGCTCGACGCAGGTGAGACTTTGGGAAGTACCCCTCATGTCTCTTTGAAGCTAAACGACAGACATTTATCAGCCGTGCGGTTAGTTTTCCAGCACTGCTGAAAAACTGTGAAACAAACTGAAACGTGCTGATGATGAAAATAACGCGTCTGCCTATAAAGTCTTTGTTCCCTGCTCGCCATCAGTAACAAAGTCATAGACACAACTTTACATTTCTCGTGTTGGCTAAAAACAATCGTACATTTATGGTCTTGAAACAGGACACAGACACTGTAACTGCCGACCTCACATCAAACACAGACTGAGCCCATGTTTGATGTTTTTATATCCAACCTTTACTCTCAAACCTTTAAACAGCAGCGAGTCTCAGCTGAGAGAATAAGTGTTTATATGATGGGGGAACATGTTTTATGAGCAGCAGCCGGCTGTACTGAACTCACTGAATGAAGAGCAAACAGTGCGCCGCATTGTCACGGGAACATGAGTGTATTAATCTGGTGATTTATTACATGTGTTAGTGTTATTATACTTCATTCTAATCTGCTGCTGGGTCTTTTACACTGATGGAAGTACAGATAACACAGCATGAACAGCTGTTCAGCCAATCACATTCATTCCACTTTGACCTGCGACAAAATGAAGTCTTGCTCTTTTTATAGCAGTGTTGCATTTGACTGGTATATTTATATGTCTTGTTGAAGCCCTGCTTCACATGATAGCTCTCTGCCACAGCAAACTAAGGGTAAGAGAGTAATGTCTGTAACAAAGGACAGACCCACCCAGAGTCACACAAAATCACAAAAGACAGAGATCCAACAGTAATGGCATGGAGTCGGACAGCAGTACCTGAGCAGACAGACAGATCGATGAGGCACTGACAGCAAAAGAGTTCTAAGTGATATTAAAAGAAAACAAAACAAACGAACTGTCACAATTCCAGCTGACTATCCCCCAGTAATGTTACTGGGGGATAGTCAGCTGGGGAATGCTGGGGGCGCTACTCGACCTGTAGAGACCAGAGATGACCATGTGACCATCATTCTGCTTGTTTCGCCCTGGTGTGTGTGTCTGTGTCCAGACTGTGTAGCAGTCACCATCACTGCTCACACCCCCCATCCAGCTTCTCTATGTGACACATCAGTACAATATTCTCACCTTTATAGAAATAAAAAAATGTATTTTGAGTGCGCTGTTTGTCAACAATGCGTTCTTACAGGGTACGTCATGTGTAATAAGAGAATGACACAGGGGGAAGTACTGAACACGTGCATGGAAGGTAGAGACAGCAGCTGAACTCTATCAGTGACCAGAAAGCAGCTCCGCAACTTGCAAATTAACATCAGCTGGTTTAGTCCCAACTGGGAACTTTTAGCTGGCTTTTGAGACGACTCCGCTAATATAATGATAATAAAAAATAATAATGAAAGCACTTTGAATTATCTGACATTGTAGAGTCTTTAACTGCCCTTAAACCTGTTGAATTCACTGACTGTGAAAAACGTTTGCTGTGCTATCCAGGACTGCAGGATAAAACGATCATACAAAGCAGAAACACCTCTGTCATGTTTGGGCTAACGAGGCAAAGTGGAACTTTTCTGTGGCCAAAATGAGACCTTTGACCTACAGCTGTTAAACAAGATGTAAAATAATCACAAAGGTTTGGAAAAATAACGTTGATTTACATATTTCATAGATTTATGAAATATTTAAACGGAAGTGAACGGGATGATCATGTGACTTTGCCAGTTAATAATTTCAAGATAAAATTTTAGAACCTACTTTTAATGTCAAAATGTTTGCACTGAATTATATTAAAGACTGCATTAAATGTAAGTTATTACAGATGTGTCGATCCCAACAAAGGAAAATGAAACCCAAAAAGCCTTTAGCAGCCTGATGTCTGGAGGGCAGGTTACGAGACGATCGTAAACTGCGACCCGTACTGTACCGCAGGAACACATCAAAGGAAAGACTGTCACATTTTCTGTCCATTGCTGATAAAGCAAAAATCAAACTCAGTCATTTTGATACTTTTCTTAATATGCCTTCAAAATGCACATATTAGACTTTTTAAAATCAGTTTTAAAACTGTCATTATACTCCAGCCCGCACGTAATCTAGTGATCGTACGTGTTGGGACAGTTTTACCTGATGGTGCATCGCAGAAGGGGGATTGCAGACATTGCTGACGCAGCTGGTCCAGAGATCCGCATGTAATCACGGCCTTTTCAGTCGGTCCATCTGCATTTCCTTTATCAAAGCACTTCCATAGTTTGTTACACTGGATCTGGCAGCAGCCTGGTACAGCTCAGCAGGGACTAAATCAGAGTAACTTCAGTTCGTCAGAAGAAAATCAACAGAAACAGATACCTAACGTTTCTACGGTGTTAGCTAACTCTAATTTGTATTTACTCCTTTGAATCCCATGCTATGTTTTTCTACCAATATTAACAAACATTTGAAAACAGAACAACCACAGATTATAATGTCTCTGTAGTTTCCTTTGGGATTTCTAATCAATGACGGCAACAAAACATGGTTCCAGTTTGCTAGCCAGGCTAGCACATAAAGTTAGCATTGCTATGAGCTGCTGCTACGCCGCAAACAAAATCCTATAAACGACTTACAGTATGTTGTCAGTAACAATTTAACAACCAACCAAAGTGACCTGCAACATCCCTGCCGTTAAGGTAGGACCGTTTTAGTTAGCGGCTGTGGGTGTTCTTCTTCTGCGATTCCTAGTACCAGCCAGCCGCACCATTGCGCCACCAGGCGGACTGGAGCGTCAGGTTAGGTTGAAGCTCGACATCCAGAGTTTTCTTCTTCTGGCTCCACGTGTTTGGAAAGGAAACCCATCCAAGCAATCTTTGAATGGTGAATGTTTTGTTCGTGTATTTTTGCATTATGGGTTGATATAAAAGTGACTGTATTATTACTTGAATAATTTCTGTGAGATTAAAGATTGATGAATAAATACTAACAAGGTCCAGAGTAATTAGGTGAGTGAGCATGATTTTACTGTTAGGCATATAGTTTTTTATTTTATTTTCTCCAGTCTTTGAAGATGAAATATTTGTGGTGGCCTACCACACCAGCTGTCAGATATCTATAATACAATCTTGAGATCCTTTCCTAGGGGATTCAACTCTCACTCAAATCTTGATCCAAGTGACCTCATTAATTAACAGGATGGCAGACGGGATCGCTCTCTTGCTACGAGTGTCGTCCACGCAATCGCACACACATTCAAACAGCACTTCATGCCTATGCCCTTACTATGATTGTCATTTACTGGTTTGTTTCATACTATTGTCCTGCTGCATAACCTGAATGCACTTAAGCTTCAGAGCATGAAATGCTAGCTGGACATCCTCCTGTAGAGAACAGAATCCATGGTTTCATGTATTACAGCAAGTCTTCCAGGTCCCGAAGCAGCAAAGGAGCCCTAGAGCACCACACTACCACCGACAAATCTTGCAACAAGTTCAGCTTTGTGTCATGGATCCACAGAATATCTTCCCAAACGTGCCCTTTTTGGCTGGCACTGGTTTTCACCTTGAACTCTCCAATGGATGCCATTTGTACCCAGTCTCTTTCTTAGGTTTACCCCTGTTCCAAGTTCTCTCCATTGGTGCATAATGGCTCACAGCATGGTTCACTGGAGTAAAATGGCTTTAGAACCTTTTTCATACTCATAGATGTCAGTGACTTTGTTTCTCATCTCTTCTTGAGTTTTTTTAGAGAGTCTGATTGACAGCCACCTATATTATCCATGTGTGGCAGCCTGTCATTCATTGGCTTTAACTTATCCTTACAGGCCATTAGATCTTGGTGGGAGAATAATTGTGGTAAATTGCCAAACAATGTCCAGAGCCAGCGGGCTGGGTTTTCTATAGATATGTGGCCTGGACTAGTGAAACAGCTTATACTTTTAAAAAAGTACTACAAATTTTACCCCAGGTCTACTTCTTCAAGTGGTGTCAAACGTTTGTGCTGATGGAGCCGAAACCACGTTTGTGCTGCAAAAATCATCATCTGTCCCGCTATCATTTTAAAGTCATTCCAGAGGTCATCAGAGGTCTTAACGACAGTGGTGTCAAACATTTGTGCTGTTGTCATTTTAAAAAAATATTAATAAAAGAAAATTTCTAAAGAAATTTCAAAGGGGCCCCTTTCAATGTTCCACAACTCAGACTTAACACTTTAGTGTAGTTTCTAATATTTTATTTCAGAATAGCAACAAAAATGTAACTAATGTTACTAAGGCAGCTTCCTGCTGCAACTCTAAAGGTGTCGTGGACAGTTTACCTGACAGCCAGTGCTGGTTTTGTCAAAGGCATTCAAGTTTAGTCTGTTAATGCAAAATCAATTTAAGAGGCAAAGGTTTGCTAGTGCTACATGTGATCAAGCAAAATTAATTATTTGTTTCACTTCCATTCATTACGTTTACCTGAACGAACACAAGCAAAGTGAAGCTGGAAAGACATTAAAATGCAGACATTTTCTCCGTGACTGAAGCGCATCGCCCTCTGCTGTGTGTCAAAGTGACCATGCTGGTGGCCACTGACAGACAAGGTAGCAATGTTAATGAGCACACAACTGCTTATTGATATGTGACACATCTGATAAATCACTGATAGAAACAGAAACATACTGCAATGCAAAGGTTGCAGAAATATTTGGTCACAAACTGAGACAAATGTTAATGACAATCTTTCAAAAATAAATCAAAAACACAGAATGCAGCCTTTAAAAGACTGTAACCTGTAACCTATTATCCATCTCATGACACGATTCAAGATTAACAATGAAAACTTTTAGATAAAACATGGAGAAATCAGTCTGAGTGGCATTTATTCCAACAAATTAACAGCAGAATTCTGAGAAGGTTGCAACATCAGCACACTGAAGTATCACAGCTCGGGACACACAAGCTCATTATCCATTCATCTGTTTCCCAGCCTATACCCATCACAAGGCTCACACACAAACACATGCTCTACCCAGAGCTGATCTTGTGTGTGCTGTTGTGTTTTAAGTCTAAGGAGCACCGTGGGCAGCTTGGTAATCAACCTGCCGAGAAAAATGTGAAGTTGGTCGTGTAGGTAACAAAACAAATATAGCTGCCACAAAAGGCCCACGCTAAAACACAATTTCACTTACATAGATGTTATTGGGTGATTTGCTCCATGGTTTTGAAGCTCAGATTATACCTCGTTTTCATATGTGACAGTGGTTCAAGGGCTGGCATGGATACACACTGAGTGGGAGAGTCAGTCGTTGTTGTGTTTTAACACGGGGATTTATTTTTCATCCTACACTGTTGGAAGCCTGGAAGAACTTTTTCTGACAGTTTGTACAAATTGAAATGATAAAGGACTTTTTATTTTATGGGTGTTCTATTTAAAGCTGTTGGGGATTGTTTTTGACAGAATAAGAACCTAATGCAAACTTCACCTTAGAATGAAAATGATCAATGGAAAAATAACAGCTTCCTGAGACGCACCAGGCGATCACATGTCCTCTGGGTGGCTTTGCAGGCAGGAAATCATTTCTTGGACTGGCCTCTTCTCAAAACAAATCTGATAAACTGCTGTGAACAAAGGGAACCTGGAGAGAGGAAGGACAGAGTTAGAGCTTGACAAAGCAGAAAAGAGAAAATTCAAGTTATTAATTTCACATGTAACAAACGTATATAGACTAGATAAACAACAACAACAACAATACAGCAGTAAATAAATTCAAATTTAAAGTCAGAAAGAAAGTTCTAAACACTGATGAGCCAAAGTATGACCATCTCTACGATCTCAAAACGACCCAGTAACATATTTCAGTTTGTTTCAGCGTAGAATCCTAGTGCGGTTCATTACAGTAACTACAGAGTTTAGGGAGAGTTTGTTCTTTATTATCTATTTCTGCATTTAAAAATAGTTCAAATCCTTTCGAAGTGTGTAGTTGTAGTAATAATAATAATAATAATAATAATAAGCGGCTGAGAGGTGGCTTGTGGTAGCCATCGAACCACATGGGGGAGAAATGGCGCCGTCACATTTCAAGCATCTTCTCAATCCCACTGACATGACCTCCATACAGGAAGCAGATTCTGTGAGGAAAGGGATGACGCCCGTCACCGGGGGCAAGGTCACTTAGGCACTTAAACCACTCTTTGGTAAGGAGGACTTAATGCTTTGCTCCAGTTATAGAGAGAACACACTCCTCAACCTCCCCAGGAAAGTCCAGGTGAGGGCACTGGAAGCAAGAATCCATCATTAGTTGAACGTCAGATTCATTAATGTCGTTTTTGTCCTGGACAGGGGAATGCTGGACCAGCTCTTTATCAAGTCAGGGACATTCCAGTGCACGTGGGCGTTTGCCCAACCAGTCTACATGTGTTTTGTGGACTTGGAAAAGGAATCTCGACACATTCCTTAAAGGATTCAGTGGGAGGTGCTGAGGGACTAAGGGGTGTCTGGTCTGTTATTACAAGTCACATGGTTCCTGTACAACCACAGCGAGAGCTTGGACTACACTGGTGGCAGTAAGTCAGGCTTCTTCCCCTGGTGTTGGACTTCGCTAGGGTTTATCTTTGTTACTGATTCTGTTCATACTTTTTAGAGCCAGAATTTCTAGGTGGCAGTTATATTGGGAGGTCTGCCTGGACACGGTTCTGTTGGCTTCATTTAGTGGTGAGCTCCAGCTCACAGTGGTCTGCAGCCCACCACTCAGGAATGAAAATCAGCACCTCCAGCTCCAAGACCATGGTTGTCACCAAAGAAGGCAGGGGCTGGTGCCCCAAGTGGAGTATCTTGGGGTCTTGTTCACGAGTGAGGGGAGGAGTGGACTGGGAGATTGACAGACAGGCTGATGTCGTCCATGGTGGTGAAGAAAGATCTCAACATAAAAGTGAAGCTGTTGATTTACTAGTTTATTTATATCCCTGTGGTCACGAGTTCTGGTTAAGATCTATCTTAAATTCTTAATAAATCTCCAACCATATCACCTGCTATGATGCCTGACAGCAGCGTCGCTGTTGTGCTGAGGCAGGCTATTGGTTGGTAGTTGGATGGGGGCCAGTCCCTTCTGGGGGATCAGACTCTCTGACCTTTGGTTAGCCTGGTTCTTGTGTGTGCTGCCAGGCGCTCACAGAGTACAGTAGGTGTGAATCATATCAGGGACTGATACTTACCCTATCCTGTTCAGGAAGATTGAAGTAATCTGCTTTTAGATCATGTCCACAGGATGTAGACATGATCTAATCTGTCCTATCCTGAGCGCAGAGTCAAGGGGCCATTTACGTGAAAAGGGAAAGACCATCTCTGAATCGAGGAGGGGCCTAAAGGTCCCTCTGTCACCATTTTATGTATATGCGTATTTTTGAGGCATTTCCCCACTGCTCCCAATTATATGTAAAGATAAACTAAGATTTAAATCCCTAATTCAAGCTCTTTACTTGTTATACACTACCAGTCAAAAGTCTGGACACACCTTGTCATTTAATGGTTTTCCGTTATTTTCATGACTGTTTACACTGTAGATTCAAACCGAATGCATCAAAACTATGAATGAACACATGTGGAATTATTTAGTAAACAAAAGTGTGAAATAACATATTTATATTTTAGATTCTTCCACGTAGCCGCCCTTTGCTTTGATTGCTGCTGCACACTCTTCATTCTCTCCATGAGCTTCATGAGGTCGTCACCTGAGACAGTTTTCCAACAGGCTTGAAGGAGTTCCCAGAGAAGCCGAGCACTCCACTGGCTTTAGGTCAGGTGACCGTGTTTCGGGTCATTGTCATATTCAAACAAAGTAAATGATGGTGGAAGGTAAAGCAAACCAGATGGGATGGCATGTGGCTGCTGTGGTAGCCATGCTGGGTTAGTGTGCCTTCAGTTTTGAATAAATCCCCAACAGTGTCACCAGCAAATCACCTCCACACCATCACACCTTCCCCTCCATGCTTCACAGTGGGAACCATGTGTAACATAGTTAAAAATGGTTCAAGTTACATCCTGCTAAATGGGACGATGGCACCACCTACTGTTGGAAATGTCACGCTGCAGTGACTATGAAGGGCAAATGATGTTGGGTAATAATTAGAGTGATGGAGGATTCCCGTAGAGATAACGAATGGGTAAATTTCATGGACAGAAATGATGTTACTAGTCCGTAACAGAAATAGAAGTTGACCTGGCTATTTTTGATTAAATATATTTGCTGTGGGTTCCTTCTGTCATCCTTACGTTGGGTTAGACGTTCGCCTTTTCACACAAGGCTCACGCTGGTTGTCCACGAAAATGAGCCATTCTACTTTGTTGCCCTTTGTCATAAATGCGGATGCTGAGTAAAAGGGGCTAAACTGACCCGACCCCGTTTGTTCATTTAAAGAACCCGAAAAGACATAACACTGAGGTGAGATGCATGCATCCTCAGCAGTGGAGGCGACTCTTGGTCTTCCTTTCCTGGGGCGTCCTCAAGTTTTTGCAATTTTCTGGACTGAGCTTCAGTTCTTAAAGTAATGATGTCATTTCTCTTTACTTAGCTGACTGATTCTGTCAAACAGGGCTGTCAGCTGTGTACCAACCTGACTGCTGCACAACACAACTGATGGTCCCAAATTACACCAATGAACCCTGTCAGGCACACCTGTGAGGAAAACCATTTCAGGTGACTGCATCATGAAGCTCATTAAGAGAAGGATGAGGGTTTGCAGCTCTGTCAACAAAGCAGAGGGCAGCTACTTAGTAAAAATAAAGACAAACCAATAAATGTTCAAACTTTTGACAGGTAGTTTACAGTCAAAATATAGCACAGAGCTGCGCTACATGTCAAAAAAGAAAAAAATAATACAATAGACAGACAAAGAAACTTGATTACAGACCTATTCACCAGGCACTTCTGTTGGAGGATGCGGTAAACCTCAGCTGAGGTGGCAGGGCCCTGGAGCTTCTGACCATTGAAAATCTCCTTCTCCAGCACTTCAATGCTCTATCAGCAGGTGTGACAAGAAGAAAATACAAGAAAGTGCACAATTAAAAAGCAGTTCGTCATTTCAAACCAAAAACAGTTCGAGCTAATAAAGTTTTACATAGTAATGCGTAATGAGGAAAGAGAGCAGATACACTACAACAACCAAACATGACGGTGCACATACCTTCCCTGTTCTAACAAAGGCCTCTGCTGCTCGTCGATTGCGGCCACCATAGCACGTAGCGATGAGGTCGGCCACACCACAGCTCTCCAGAAAGGTCGATGTGGAAACCACGCCATTCTTAGAAAAGAGTTGGGCGAAGGTTATCATCTCCATCAAGCCCAGACGGATCACAGCTGCCTTGGTGTTGTCTCCACACTGCAAGCCATCACAAAAACCTGCACTCACTGCAACGATGTTCTTCACCAGCAATGAACAAAACAAAAACACACATTTAGAAAATGATGTAAAGCTCTCAATGCAACTAACAGAAGACTGAAAATCATGTACTGATGAGTGCATCACCTCACACCTAATAAAGCTCATTATTAACACGACCGTCTCAAAGAGAATATTTGGGTTTCAGAAGTGTGTTGGTGCACCCATGCTCCAATTTAAACACTACTCTTAAAAACAAAATACATATATAGTATAAAATGATGAAAATCATCGACGCTGCATTCAGCAAACCACAGAGCATTTGGAATATCAGTTTATTCATAGGTTCCATGCAGTCAACACCTGTGGCCAATTACATATCTGACACCCATTGAAAATATGACAAAAGAAGTCCCGGCGAAGGCGTCGAATCATATTTCAAGATGGAACGAAGGACAGTTTGGTTTCATAACCACAGACACTGGTTCTGCCTCTTTACCAGCAAAAGGTTTCACATTTCAGAGGAGAGACAGTGTTACACAGACATTTAGACTCCAAGCATCCTTACAGTCGACAGTAACTACAGAGAGACCGTGCTGGTAGCCATGTGATTATAGAGCATTTGATTCAGTGTCATGTGTAAGTGTTTACCTTCAAAGCTCCACACAGCTCCACTGTGTCAGCATCCTCCACTACTGTGATCCTGAAGTTTGGAGTCGTCAGTAACTCTTTGAACAGTAGACCATCCTCCACATTCCTGCTGCCTAGCACACACACA